TAAAGTAACGCACACACGCACGCTCAATCACTCCATTTACCTAGTAAATCCTCCAAACCAGTGCGAAGGGCAAAGTTTTCAGGGTTAACTGAGGCGCAACTTTTCGGCGCAATTTTATACGACCTATTCGTGTACTTTTCGATCGTGTGCAAACAATTTCTTTTGTTAGTGGTTGACTTGATGTGCATATGTATGTATATATACATATGTCTGTATGTGTTGACTATTTGTTTGAACGTTGCAAGTTGCCGTTGAAGCAAAATCCCAATTCAATGTCTTCCAAGTTTATCACAGTCATACTTTCACATATTTGCACAATTGCATTTACGAGTAGCTGTTTAGCTGTTGCTGCCGCAGCTTTTAACTGTGTTTACGGCCTCTTCTAGGCAAAAGTGCGCAATTGTAGCTTGTTTCATTGGCAAAGGTTACGGCAACGAATTGCCTCTTGCCACAAATTGAATGAGGCTGGGTACAAATTTAGCGGGCGTCGTAAATTTATATGAGGCGTGTGCGTTTTTCTATTATTTTGCCGTTGGTTACATTGTCATTTGTCATTTGCCATTTTGACTTTGTTAAAAAAGTTTTAAAAGAATGAGAAAGAAAATTAGTTATTTATTATGACAAGTAAAATGTGAGGCATTTGTAAACTTTCACCGCAGGCGAGGCGAGGTATTTAGCTGAAAAAAAAAACTGCAAGTTGGTTCTTGTCTCGGAGCAAGCGGATCGCTGTATACACAAGCGCCCGGAGTATAGTTGTCCCCAAAAATAAGTATCGGATAACTGAATGATTACAAATCGAAAGACGATAAACCAAATCGATCATGTCGTGATCTAGACTTACGTATGATCTGGACAACGGACACCTACTTGGATCACTATCTTGCTGCAGCTGAGATAAGTGAACGCCTCTGGGCACAAAAATGCCCGGCAGTGGTACTACAGTTCCAATGAACCTGAAAGTGCAACTGGTAAGACAAATAATTCTATGCCCCAAGCGAAAAAAAATATGCCGCCTGAAGGGCTATTTTGTAAAACGTTATTAAATTATGGAACTCTTCCACCCTATTGAATGTTAAGTGCTTTGGAAGTAGTAGAGAAGATGAACCCGATTTACTTGGTTGAAAACGAAGCAATCGAGGAGCAATTTCGCCACTGAAAAATAACAACGCTGCTGGAGATGGTGGCCTGACAGCTGAGCTATTTAAGTACGGTGGCAAGGAGTTGATAATATCCATGCTTCTTCTGTTTTGCAGAATTTTCATGCTCGACGACTAGCATTTGCCATATGGGCCAAATATCGTGGTATCTGCCGTCTAGGCATCGGTTCGATTCACGAGAACATGATCAACACACAACATATATTTTTCGATTTCAAATTCGTTTCTGCAGCTTTTTCGTCAATGCCTGCGAAACTTGTAAAAATACCACAACGACCAGCTGCACAAGAACTGAGAACAACATTTCCGATAACTTTTGAGAAAAAAAAATATCTTTTGAGAAAATGAAAAATATAATAAGATCTTGAGAATTTCTGATTTTTGCAGCGGCACCAACAAAGTAACCGTTGGTTCTTCCTTTTCCAAATTATATATAAAGAAAAGGCGAATGGGGGTCTAGAGTGGAATGTAACTATTAGAGAGTACAGCACTTCGTTGATTTATTAAAGTATATTACTCGCTCGATTTGTTATTTAAAATTTTCCCTTGCGGCACACAGTGTTTCGACTACATGGAGGCAGGTGGAAATAATAGTAAACCTGCACCAATTCCACTGAAACTTGACGTGTGCTCTAGTTTTACTTAGAAATAGGGAATTATGAAATTTGATAAAGATGGAATAATTGCCACGCCCTCTACTCTTGTGGGCGGAAAGATTAAATTTCATCCGATTTCGATGAAATTTAGTTTGTGCTCTCCCCTTTATTAGGAAACCCTATGAGGAAGATTGGATCACTATAACTCCAAAACTCACAAAAAATGTGGGCCAAGTCGTTAAATGTGATGAAATTATAGTTAATTTTTTCCTGCTTTTCACTCTCAGAAAACGAAGGTTATACTATGAAATGACTTAGGCGTAAATATTCGCCTTTTTCCCAATGTTTGGTGAGATTTTTTCATTGTTCGAAAAATTCTTTTCGCGAAATTATGCAATAAAAGGCTGAAAATAAAAAAAAATAATAAAATCAAAAATTTAATATATTTGCAAAGTCGCGCGCAAAGTGCATTCAGTATATTCCAAAACTACATAAAATTTTCCAAAACATTTGTCTAATTTCAAGACCTGACCGGTACTCACACTTTTTTTAATAATAATCTTTATCATCTACATTTCAGAGAAAATTTTTTGGTAAGAAAATAGGAAAGTACCGAATAAATGATAATTCCTTCACCCGAATATTCCACGGAATTTAAGTAATTGATTACAGTTGAAAAATAAACACTTTCTTTAATGGCTTAATCGCCAAAGGCAACTTAACTGATTACTCGGCATCGTGCAGTTTCCCTATTTCTTTGGAAACGTATCTTTCGCAAAGAAGGGTCTCCGAAATATCCCAAAAAAAATCAAATATACAAACAGAAATATACAAAAGAAAAAAAGAAAAAATAGTTTAAATTAGAAAACGTTTAAATAAACAATTGGGCATTATTTTCTGAAGTCCTCTGAAGAGAAGCAGAGTTTTCAGATTGAAAAATTTTGATTTTCATGGATTCTATGCCATTTCTACGAAAAGTCTTTTTTTCGCCATACAAAATACATGGGAAACTTTGAGCGCTTTGAGCGACCTCTAAATATAATTTGATTTTAAAATAAAAAAACGGGTATATTTTTTTCGGTACAGAACAATCCTAGGGGGTGAGAGCATTAAATTTCCGATTTTACTTTTCTCCCATACATTTTTGGACCACACTAGGGTACACCCAACATATTTAATGTTATTCTATAGGCCAATACCTTTCAAACGATACCTTATATATTCAGCTCCGGCTACTAGTTGGAAAGATATAGAGGTAAACGTGTTTTGGTTCGTGTCTCCACTACGAGATCCTTTGGTATGTATGTGGCGTCCGTACTTACCATCGTTTAATTTTTTTTCAAACTTTCACGAATTAAAGTACAAAATAAACTAAGAAGGTTTTGTTCCAGGATGTTTTGATTCGTATGCCTTTGTGGGCGTGGCTGCTGCCTGAAACTCGAAAAAAGGCAATTTTTTAAACTACCACTGAGGCCGCACTGCTCAGTCCATGACATTGATCTGGACATCAGTAGAAGGGTCTTCAAATAAGCTATCTAACGCTATCTTTTGTGTTTTTAAAATATAAATACGTCATTACGTTATCGCCTGAAAACTGAAAATCGGGCTGCTGAAAATATAGATTTCGGACATTTTCTCAAAACTGGTCAGTCGATTTTATTCTTAGTTTCCATAAATCTAGCCCAAAACCTTAGTTTACATCTGGTTTATAGCTTATCAAATAAAACACCTCTTTGAGGTAAAATTTTCGAGTAACGAAAGCTGAACTAGAAGCACAAAATAAAAAACAGAACTTTTGCAACGATTCGTATGAATAAAAAAGATTTTCCGTACGATTCCAAGGCAGTTAAAAAATGCGTATAATTTTCGTCACGAAAGTGATATCATAAGTTTTGTGTTTCTAGTTCAGCTTTCGTCACTCGAAAATTTTACCTCAAAGAGGTGTTTTATTTGATAAGCTATAAACCAGATGTAAGCTAAGGTTTTGGGCTAGATTTATGGAAACTTAGAATAAAATCCACTGACCAGTTTTGAGAAAATGTCCGAAATCTATATTTTCAGCAGCCCGATTTTCAGTTTTCAGGCGATAACGTAATGACGTATTTATATTTTAAAAACACAAAAGATAGCCTTAGATAGCTTATTTGAAGACCCTTCTACTGATATCCATGTCAATGACATGGACTGAGTAGTGCGGCCTCAGTGGTAGTTTAAAAAATTGCCTTTTTT